TATTCTGTAAAGTGCATTTTTCCATGACGGCCACAATATTTGTTGCAAAAAATTGGGCATCTTTCCACTCAGATGAGGACTCTAGTTTTGCAATGTTTCAGATGAGCTGGCGAACCTTTGAATTTATATGGCATGCTTGTGGTTTCTGTTGATACTGTATTGAGATACTACATTGTTTTAATTAAGAATGATGATTCCATTGATGGGCTGAATGTGAATATTGCTCTTTTCCAGACTAAATTTGCCTCCCTGTGATTAAAACCTCTCATGTAATTATGTCCTTGACAGGAAAAATAATAAATGCGGTCTTTGCCTTTTTTTTTTTTTTTGAAATTCATTTTTTTAAAGGCTGCCCAAGTCATGAGATGAAGGTAACATTCATTTATAAAATTGGGGCATTGGGAGAGAGCACTGAAGTGCTTATTAAGTAACCAACTAATTATAATCCGGAACTTCTGAGGAAGAACTGAGGGTAAAGGAAGCTAAATTGTAAAGTGGTTTTGGGGAGGTGGAGGTGGAAGCTATCCAATAAATAGCTGATTTTGAATTCTGAGAAGCTACTATCTTGACTAATATTTAAGCAGGTGTGTTAGCAGGATTTCCAAAAAGTCTTAAATGTTATCTATGTGTTGTATTCAAGTTCTAGGGATGAAAGTGATCATTAGGCATGGACGCTGGATCAGAAAATGCAGTAATGTGATGCTATGTTTACATGACACAGTGTGCCAAAGTTATTTACTGTGACTACATTCTTTTTTTTTTTTTTACACAACTATGGACTTCATGTGTATTGTACCAAGCACTGCTTTTGCACACCTCCTTGTCAGTGCAAAAATACTAAAGACCTTGTTGGAAAAGATTTTCAAACGAATTGAAGATATGCAGAAGCCGTCAGTGGTAGGTTTTGAAGTTAGATACAGGAAATAGTTGAACCTTCCCTTGATCTTTTTTATTGTAAACTACCAGGAAATTTAATAAGCAGTTACCATGTCATCTCTGTCCTAATCTTAGCTACTTTAAAGAAAAATAATGGTGGTACATGTACATTTCCTTTTACGAATTAAATGTGGTTTAGAAAATTATTTCTGTTGGTTCTTTAAAATCTGCTGTACAGAGCTTGTACTTTGTTCATTTTATAGATGGAAACCATCCTTGAAAAAACTGTTTGTTTAACTTAAGAAAATAAATACTTTATAGATAAGATAACAAAGTTTGCTGTCATTCTGTCTGCGTGTGCTGAAGACCTACCTGGTCACTGTACATGAACTTTAGTGAGCAGCTCCTGATCCACTCAGTTGGTCAACTCTTGCCTACTGCCTTTATCTGTCACAATGTCCACAGTTCACAATGAACTTGGGACAATTTTTTTGCATGTGCTTCACAAATAGTTAGAAAGTTGTCTCGTGGGGATGGGGACTTTAAAAACCCAACCTTTGGCTATATTTGGGTGACCTGTGATTGATTTTCACCAATTTCATGTTTCCTAGTTGAGAACTGATTCAAGTGAGTGTTCTACTGTTGAATGCAATTGCTATATTATAAACAAAAATCTAAAACAGTGGACATAAGCCTCTCTTAATACAGCTATTTTACCTTAATTTTGTTTAATTGAGTTAAGGAGCACTTCACAATCTGCCTACAATTTCAATGGCATGGAAAATATAGCCAAACATAATTATTTCTTAAAGATTAGAATGTTTAGTGAAATGTGGTATTCTCATCAATCACTTATGCCATTACAAATTTAGGAAAGTTTGATCTTAGTGTTTTAATTTTGAAAACAAATGGGCAAAACTAAAATTTGAAATAAAAGAGCTTTAACATTTTTCTCATATTAATATAGGTATTAGATTAAACATGGTGGGCCTTAACAGTCTCTGCACACTATCATAGTTGTTTACCTGTCATGATTATTTGATTTATCAAAAGCAACGTTTGGATAACTTTCTTTTCCTAGATAAATTTATCTTAAGACACAGGCTTGTTTATGCAATTGAATTCTGTTTCAGACTGCAGAGCATAAAGAAAAATGTGTTCATTTTATTTCATTATGAATGTTACTAACTTGTTCACCTTTGATCATTTGAATGCAAATATATAAATATCATTTTTTTTGTTGAAAGCATGTTAGGTTTCAGCAATTCTGCACTTAGGGAATTGGTACACATGAACTACTTTTGTAAAGGAACGTGTTAAATTTATTTTTTTTAAAAAATAACAATTCATGGAAGTAGAATTGAAAATCATAATTGGAACTCAGCAAAATAAGGGGACCATGGTGTAATATTAGGTTAGTCTTCTAAAGCAGTAAGTCCTCACAGTTAACAATTGATTCTTTTTTTGATTTTCCTGTTTCCACCCGACTTACGCAACTCTGTCATGTTCATGAGCCTTCAATGAAAAGCCATTGTCCTTGGGTAACCTGTTAGTAGCGCTTCGTCCAACAAGCTTGAAATTAATGTGTCAGGCACAAAGAGTACAGAGCTTAGCCTTCCTGTTCTAAAAATTGTGTGGATGAACAAAGAATAATTGTACTTCTTTTCACCTAAGCCAGAATTGAGGTCTCTTCATGGCTGTTTTGCAATGAAGCTCCTAAACCAAAAATTGCAGGCATATGGAATTCATGTATTGGCAAGTAAGTTATAGTAATTTTGAATTATATAAACTTTGACCTGACTACTTTGCAACAGAGAGGAAATCCACTTTTTTTGTTCCTAAAAGCACCATACAGAGTCACTTTGAGTGAAATCCAGTATCCTCAAAGATTACTGTAACAGTTTGCAATGACACATATAAATGAAACAAATTTTTTCTAAAGATATTTTGAAATGTTTCAGAATACTTCCCATCACCATATTCATTATGATATATCCTTAAATACGCAAATATTTTTTTCTAGTGTATGTATCATGTTTAGATAGGGCTGTGCTTTTTTCTATCCAGAATCAACATGGAACAGAGTTAATGCCAAGAGCGCTAAACTGACTTCACAGAGTATCAGGGGATGTATTGTCTGAACCTAGACATAGCTCTACTTTATGCTTTCTTGAAACAGGAATCAAAGGATTTCCATTTGCTGTTTAAATCAGAAGGATTCAAGTAGCATCTTCCCAGATCAATATATTTTATTAAAAGACAAGATATAGTGGGCCTCAACAGATTTCAGATGCATTGGAGTGGCTACACTGATGCTGGATTTAAATTGGGATAAAGTGGAAGCATGGCTGGGGAAAATAGAGAAAGAAAATAGTGGTGGCATCCGATGACGTAAGGCAAATTACAAGTGCCTTATCAATTAACAGTTATAATCTGTTAAAAATCCATTATTTGTTGAGAGCTTCTGAGATTGCCTGAAACCTTTTGATGCATGTGAGTTTAGCAATCTCTTTTTCAATTGTTACTACTTCCAAGATGGCTACTTTGAGATTTGTCAAGGAATAACTGGAAAATTGAAATACTCTTGATATTACTTAGTCCTTGTTTAGAGGCCTGATGTCAAAGGAGTCCATTAAATCTTCTGCACAAAATTTGGCCTGTTAATCCTATATAGAATCAAGAAGTGCATTGCCAGCACATCCTCTAATGTAATATATGCAGTCATCTGCCAACTTTAATAACATTTATTAGTCTGGAAAAGTAATATCTCTCTTCTTTTGATTTTTGACTACCAGTCTAGCCTGGCTTTCATACAATGTCTACTTGTGAATAGTATTTAAGACTGCAAAGAATTAGAGGCATGAAATACTACTTAAAGTATTGGAATAATTTATCCTATTGGTTTATTGTGTCTAATCTTATTATCGAAATAGCATAATTATGGTATTTTTTTTGCTTTGAAGGTTCAATAATTCGATTTCCTAAAATGCTCCTTTTCATTTCTATAACAACCATATTTCTGTGTTTAACTTTGAAAAAAATAATTGTTGTTCCTATAAACATCCATTGTGGCTATTTAGTTTACCTGTGATAGAATCATAAAGGTAGATTAATGTGCCAGGCAAGGTTAGTTTATATCCAAGTATCTGGAATTAGGATGATGATGAAATGCTACAGCAGAGATAAGAGATAATTGATTTCTCCACACAGTGTAACAAAAATGCAAGCCACACTTCCAATGCAGTGTATTTATATTGGTCATTCTATTTGTGATTATTACAAATTGTGCTTATTTAACAAGTGGGAAGGGAAAAATCATGCCTTGTTGGCATTTGCTAGTAAAACATCTATATTGCACTCTCAGATCTGACACATGATTGCTATTGCCTTTGGCATCAATAGAGATTCATTATGTAGATTTTCAGCTACTTCCCAAAATATTTTTAGCTGGCTGGCATGCATCACAAAATTGTAGCACTTCAAGCAACCACTTTCTGTATTCAAAAGACACCATTTAGCACAGCTGTTGAGTTGTTATTTCCAAGTTAAAGCTATTGACTTATTTTATTATTAAAGGTACAAATGTAACTTATTCCAGGGGAGAATGAAATTTTGTTCCCAACTTAGACACTAATGAAATTCCAGGTTTTGAGTGAAAATTTGCACCTCAGTCAGTCTTGAGATCTTGGATGCGTCTGTTATTTGGCAAATTTTTCTAAATTTAATGTGTTTTTACAAGGCAAAAAGTTAGGAAGACATATAACAAATGATGTAGGTAAAAAGCACATTTAGTTAGGTTTCCTTTATTCTTATTACCTACCTTTCATTTTCTTCTTTCACAACTTTTTACTCTTGTTTTTCAATTTACATAACATTGTTTATCCTGAAGGATAATAGCATGATCTTTGAGGCATGATCTTTGAGGCAGGTTAGCTTCAAAGAGTAAATGCCACTTATTGATAGCATATTGACATTAACCACTATTTTACTTTTTAAAATTTAATATAAATATTGCTGCATGTCCATTTCATTTTACCCAGTGCCCAACTCATAACCTTGTGGCTTTGATTTCTATGACCCAAATTTCTCCCTCACCCCAGGAAAAATGAGACAAGGAAAACTAATTTATAATCTATATTTGACTGTATTTCAAAGTTGTTGACTGTAAGACAAACTTTGTGGAAGGAAGGAAAAATCACATGACATCAGAGTGATATTATAAATCCATCCAGTTGTGTTGTTACCACATTTCACATTTTAGAATTTAGCTCATGGCATAGAAAACCTCTAAAAATTTATTGCAAGCGTGCTTTTGTGTAGAACAAAAAACAGTCACAAAAATTTAGGTCCTCACTTGAACCAAAGAGCCAGAAATACAGATGGGAACCTTACTCATGTGTAGGGGCTTCTACACAAGCATTTCTTGAATAGATGCATATGTATAAAATCAATATTTTGTTTCAACCCAAATAATAAAACAGCACTGCACGTTTAATCCGGCATTGACATGGTTTAACAAAAACCTCTTGTTCAACACACTTTGAGAAGGAAGCTTATGACTGAACTTCAGCCACTGATGGGTGTATTGTGAGCAGAGTTGATCACACACAAATTGCTGAACACACTTTTCACAATAACAGCACTACACTAGTGTACTGAGTATTACTTCATTTAATGACACGTACGTTGCAAAAGTGGAAAGGAAAAAAAATATAGCTCAGAGCTTCCCTTCCAAATATCCCATTTATTTCCTATATGATGGCTTGGCCTGTTTTACTGAAATCAGCCCCTGAGCTCTCGCTGTTGTGTGTTGATCGATAGTGCAGCAGCCGTAACATTGTAGTATGCATAGATGGAACAGACCTGGATCATTTCTGGCTTTGTTTATCAAGGACCTCCTATATTGATTGCTTTTATTTTTGAAGAGGAAAAGAATGAGGTCTCAATAACCAGAAAAGTACAGCATTTCCTAAACCAGTATAAGATAGACATTCATACTACTTTTTAACAAAGCTGTGAACTCTACATCAATTGTTTTGGGCTTCTGCACACTTCTAGTTCATATTGTCCTTCACTTTCCCTAACCAATTAAACAAGTTTTAATAGTAATGTTTTAGATAGATTAATTTACCTAGGCTGATTATTTTTATCTCCTCTAGATTTTCTATTTTCTGAGTTGAACTTCTTTTTGCTACTATGTCAGATTAAAACAAAAAGAAAAAAAAGGCCAAAAATATGAAATAATGCTAAATTGCAACAACCAAATTTTCCTCTTCCCCCATCTCACTCCACTTTGTGGTGGAATGCAGGATCTTTGTTAAATATAAATGTTGATGCAGATTAATTTGCAAATGCCATTACAAAATTATTTTGAGAATGAATGATAGGAGTTAAGAGTGCCTAGAAGAATGGGAAAATGGCACTTTCCATTGGACTTTGCAAAAAGATTGCAAAATGTACTGATCCATGATCATAAAGGCAAGTGTCCTTCCATCTGCTGTTTAGAAATGTTATTTTCTACTCTGTATTCCTCTTCCACTATAATTTTGTGGCATGAAATTTTTCAAGGGAAGAGAATTAAAAAAAAAAATTCCTCAGATCTTGTCATGTCCTGAAACAAGTCGGTATTCTGAACATCCACACCTATTCAGCTTCCTAAGTTTCACATTGTCACCCAGAAAAGAGCTATTTTCACTTCATCCAATTAATTAATATGCTGCCTGAGCTCTGTACCTCAACACTCGAGAAGAATTGGGATGCCAATCTAGTGGGTACAGAATAATCCAGTCTTGTAAGAAGAGTTCAAAGAGCAGTGTTTTCACACTTTTTAAAAAATGTTACATGATCTGGTTTAATATCTCTGTTCTACTTCTTAAACCATGGTATAATAATGTACACAATTTTTACAAAAACTGATATTTAGTGTCACTGAGTGAAATGTTGGTTATGTGCCAGGATCTCACTAAGTGACAATAAATTGTAGTGTGCCATGAAAGGCACAATGAGTGTGCTATGACTGATGTCTTTTGAGTGGGTTTATGTGCCCCTCGGATAGCTCTTAGGGAAGGCTCACTGTTACATATCTATGGAGATTCTCAGTCATCCAGGTCATGATTGTCTCAAAGGTGCTTTTTCAAAAGGCAACTGGACTTTGTTTCTTCCTTGAGGAAGACGTTTATTTTTTCATCCAAGAAGCTTCTTCAGATCTGACTGAGTGGTGGGGGAAGGGGGTGTCAAAGAAATATAAACCCTTCCCCCCCATCACCACCATTCAGTCAGAACTGAAGAAGCTTCTTGGATGAGAAGTGAAACATCTTCCTCGAGGAAAAAAACAAAGTCCAAATTGCCTTTTGAAAAAGCATCTTTTAAATGCTTACCGACACAGTGATTTCCACCACTATACATGTTGTCAGGCCTGGAAGCCATCTTTTTTGTTGCATCTCCAGGCCTGCCACATTTACCACTGTGGGAAACTGGGAGGGGGGATTGTATGGAGCATGGGAGATATATAGTCATAATAACATTCCTTTCTCAGGAAGTCAAGGACATCTTGCCCAGCACCTGGAGGGTTGGAACTAGGAGGCATCTCCAGTCAGCACAGTGTTTGGATTGGACCATGTGATGGACATGTGGGTGTTGGGCAGGGTCTTGAACTTTCCTTTGGGTGGGGAAAACCTGGAAGCTTTCAGATTCGGGTTTTCCCAGATGTGCCAATATGACGTCTCTAATAAAGTGGAACTTTGAGGAAATTCAAGCCTTGGAGTGTTCTTTCGCTGGGGGTGTTACTTAGAACCCTGACACATGTCTTGATCTGGATGGTCTTTACAAAGAACAACACATAACTCAATACCCCAAGTTCAGTGTTGAATATATGACTACATTCTTAACTTGAATACTTTTATAGTCTGCTGTTAGCATCAGGGTGCTATATCCTAATTTAAGCACTGACAGGAGAATTCAAGGGCAGTCTACAAATCTGTAAGAGCAATCTGTAAGCAATCTACAATTACTGTTAAGAATCAGTGAGAGATTGGGAGGAAATTGGTATGCCTAGGGAACCTTGTATAGAAATTCTAAATTTCAAGAAAAGCATAAGGAAGACTACAAGTTCACATTTTTAAAAATGAAATATTACCAGTATTATTTTATATACCCAACTGGACATGGTAGACAAGCCTTCCTGCTGAATATTGCTAGTCTCAACAAAAAATTTTTAAGGAAATTGGTAAAACAAAGTAAAGAAATCTAGAGATTACATAAGTGTTCAGAATGTTGAAATACATCTAGATCATCCTTTCTCTAGAAGAATACTTGTCCATGCCCTTCAACTATATTAAAGTTGAGGAAAGCTGACCTAATGATTTGCTTGTTAAATCAAGCAAATCAGTCAACCAATTCTATCTATGGCAAGAATTTTTCACCACAATAAATAAGTCACTAAGACTAGCTAATTCTATAAGAAATATGTGTTAAATGGAATGGAATTGCTTGCTAAGGAGTGGTCCTTGTACTTAAAGTATATCTGAGGTGAGTAGGAAGATTTTAATGGTCAACCAATGTGGCTGAAATCCTGCTTACCCTTCTTTGGAAAAAAAAAAACCCCTCCTTAAACTAAGCTTTGGATAAACAGGCATTATGCAACAAATGAAAGTTTGAATAAAAAGGCATCATACTACATTGCAAATGCTATTTTGAAGCAAAATCATGTGGTTCCCCCTTACACTGCAGAGTTGGTTCTATCCACCATACTGGAGTTGGCAGAAAACTCTACCAGGGTGTATGGCTGACTCCTATCCTTTATTTCCAGTCACTGCAGACCCCTAACATCTTTCCAAAGAAATGGGTAACAAAGCCTAACAGATTTTACATACCTGATGACTATTTTTGGATAGTTCCAGGAAAAAAAGGGGGGGGGAATAACACTCAGTAGATTGTAGGTGAAATGACAGCATGGCAGAAATAACAAGGTTGACAGAATGTGTTTGTGCCATAGTTAAGAGTAAAGCTTGATTTAGACTTGTCCACAATTGTGTATAGATGTCAACGCATATCTATTCTGTGAAGGCATTGATGGGTAAGTGTAGGTTGCAGATGGTTGCAGATGGGCTAATGTGTACACTTCCCAAATCTCCACTAAATGTTGTATGGAGATGTTCATCCTGCGTGTTGATTGGTTTATCCATCTATGTTTTCTGTGCTTTGAGGTTTGAGTGTTCCCTAGCCAGAATGTAACATTTACAAACATGTAACATGCAACTGTCTTTGAATGACAGACAGACACATATTTTCCCTGACGTGCAGTGACACAACAGTCTAAACCTGGCTTAACTGGGGAAAGATCTTTAAAATGTTTAAAATAATAAAATGTTTTTTGAAAGTAAAAAGCTGGACATAAACATAGTAAATAACTAATTTAAGTGCAATTAATTAATTAAGATGTGACTACCGTATATCTCAATGGACATTTTCTAATGCATTGTTGAATACTACCTTGCTTATTAGCAATTGCCATTGGCTAATGGCCATCAAAAGAGGGCAATCTTAGGATCCAAGATATATTCAGTGCCTCAGTAACCAGGGCAAACTCCCACAATTGGGACTAATAGCCATGCTAGATAAGAGATGTAGGAACTGAAATCTATCATGGATGGAGAACATAAGATTCTTCATTGGAAGCTGACCTAAAACTCATAATTCATTTTTATCAAGGAACAGGTAGGTCAGGAATGGGTGGGGGGATAGATGGATTGCATACTACAGTAGATTCAAAGCTCTTTTCTATGTCTGCAGTCTTGAAACTCCTGTTTAAATTTGGCAATAAAGCAACACAGTGGTAGTAGAGGATGACATAAACAATAATCAGTATGTTAATATTACAATATTAATTCATTAAAAATACAAGAAAATTGCCAAAAACTTAAAAGACCCTTATATTCTGCCTTCCTAGTAAAGTCTGCCTTCCTGGCTCATCTTGTCACCTGAGCCTCCAGAGCCTACTCTATCCCCCCCCCCATTTTTTAAAGTGCACCCACCAAATATCACCTCTGGTGCAAATAAACAAAGTTTCATTGAGTTCTTTAGCCCTATTTTTTCCTAATTGGATGCAAGAGGTAGCAGGACAAAATTCCAAATGGTAAATTTGCTGTAAGCTTCACATCTGACTGTACAATCTCAGCTGCCTTGGTCTTTTTTCACGGACTGCAACTTCTGACCCAAAAATGAGCTGTCATAGAACTGTGAAAGGCTACTCTATCTCAAGAGTTCTGATAGAATTGGCTTGAATTTTAAGCTTGGGTTGCATACAAGGACAGGTGAGTCACAAAGACAGCTTGGTCTTTCTAATATTCAGTTTTGTAGGCTCCTTGTTAAAGTTCTTCGTTCTTGATTAATTTTTGCTTTAAAATATTATGTTCCTTTTTCATAAGCATCATGACTAGCAATTCAATAGTGCAGGAGATGACAGTGGACACATCACAGGGTGATGTGCAAATTTCTGATTCCCCATTATTAAAGAAGAAACGTGGGTGCCAACCAATGCCTTACCTTTCCTTAACTCCCAACACCAAAGCAGTAGAACTCAAGCTTAGGGGAAATAAGATATGGCTTTTTTATTGGAGGATTGTAAATTCTGGTTGCCAAATCGCTAAGTCTGAATGGTTGTGGATACATCAGGGTTATCTGTCATCATTAAGAGCTGTTTCCTGATGGACTGGCAATACCTATCAAGAAGCAGGTTTGTGACATGGGATCCTCCTGGACTCACAGCTTCTGCTAGAATAGAAGGTGGACGCTGTGTCCAGATGGCCTATGCCAGTGATGGCTAACCTTTTTGCCATCGCGTGCCAAAAGCGGGGGGAGCGGGGGGTGTCGCACGCATGCATGCCCACATTCATAATTCTATGTGCCCCATCCCCCACGCATGCATGTGCGACCCCCCCCGCACGACCTCCGTTTTGGCACGTGATGGCATGGTGGGCCCGGTAGGCCCATTTTTGCCCTCCCCAGGCTCCAGAGCTTTTCTAGGAGCGTGAGGAGGGCAAAAACAGCCTTCCCCACCCCCTGGATGCCCTCCAGGAAACAGTCTGTTTCCCTACTTCCGGTGGGCCCAGAAGGCCCGAAAATCAACTGGCTGGTGCTCGCATGCATGCCGGATCTGAGCTCGCATGCCCACCGATATGGCTCCACATGCCACCTGTGGCATGCGGGCCATAGGTTCGCCATCACGGGCCTATGCCCAGCTTCAGTTGGTATATCATTTGCAATTTGGCTTGAGGCAGGAAGAGCTAGCTACAGTAACTCATGCCCCTGTCACCACATGGCTAGGCTACTGTAACACCTTCTACTGGGGACTGCCCTTAAAAATACTCAGAAAATGCAATTGATTCAAACTGCACCAGCTCACATACTTATCAGCTCCTGTCATTGGGAGCACCTAACACTGGTTTTTGTGGAGCCTGAGCCCACCAAGACCTACAGAGGACATAAAGATGTTAACATGGATATCATCTCTGTGGTGGCCTTCCCAAATCTTTCCTTCCAGATACGTCGGGCTTTTAACTATTAAACAATGATGAAAGTAGTACTTAATTACCAAGGTACTTAAACACATCTTCACATGTGTGATAACTGGCTTTCAAAGGGAATGTCACCTCTGAATATTTAAATTGTATCACACAAAGCAACGCTACAGTCAAAGTCTGTAATTTCATTCTGTGCCATTTTTTTTCATGCCCACATCCGACTGGTAGCCATGTGATTCTCAGCACTTTTTGTGCTAAAATGGAGGCATAACCTTTTCTTTTTGTTTTTTTAAAGCTTTGGAACTGGTTCATAACAAAGTTTAACATGCAAATGTTTCTGATTGTCTAGTATTGCAATGATTTCCCCACCCCAGAAAAGTGTCTAGTTTGTCATAAATAACAAGGCAGCAACATGGCCAAAACAATGGAATCATAATGAAGTAAACTCTAGCTTGGGAAATAGCTAGCTGATGAGACTGATGTTAACTGAGCAAAATAAGAAAACAAACATTGTCATAACTTTTTGGAAGTCACTTCATGACCAGTATTCATTCAGCAGTATTGAGATATATAGTTTAGGATCAGGGGTCTGCAACCTTGGCAACTTTACAACTTGTAGACTTCAGCACCCAGAATACCTCAGCCAGCGTACGTTGGCTGAGGTATTCTGGGAGATGAAGTCCACAAGTTGTACAGTTGCCAAGGTTGGAGACCCCTGGTTTAGGTCAGTCTTCAAATAAAAGGGTACTTAGATATTTTTCAGCATCTAGAAATGTTAAATTGCTTTGGGTAAGAGCTTTTTAAAGGACAAATGGAAATAACACACTTGGAAATATATCGTGCCTCACTCAGCAGTTTCACAAATGACTCATCAACCCTCAACAAATTGTTTATGTCACTTGGTTTTGGAGTTACCAGTATACAGTATATCATTAGGTTTGGGATCTCCAATTTTACCTTTATTTCTGGATTTGGCATGTCTGTTTATGCAGCACTATGAAAAAAAAAAAAAGAACAGATCCAGCTACAGTTATGGAGAAACTAGTTCCTCAGAGAACCTTTTATACCTTTTCTCACATTGTGTAGAAAAATTCAATGCCTGAAGAATAATACAGGATGATTGCAATTAAATCTCTTATGCTTTTGTTATGGCATAACTGAAATTAATCTTGGAGTTTAGCTGACTTCAGATAGCACAATGAACTTAGTTTGGTAAACTTTTCAGTTTCTCACTGTTCCTTTATATTAAAAAAAGCATTTTCTGTCAAAATTATACCCCCTTTTACAATCTAAAAGCATTGCAACAAAATAAAATCTTCAGTCTACTGTCTTCATCTGCCATTGCCTAATCACTGGCTTGCAAAATAGATTTTTTACATTTTTTTAATATATATATTTCTCTTCTAGCAACCTCTTTTCAGCCACACAGCAGTGCATAACTTTACACATTGTGCACTGATTTAAAAAAAAAAACAACCACACCCAATAACATGCCCAACTGGAACTGCTGAGCCTTTCTAGCTTGAAAAGGGATAGGGAAAAGGATTTGTGTAACAACTAACACCCTGTTTGAAAAATCAGATTGAGCAATAGCTAACACAAATTCATTTCTGATACACCAGTGCCTGTGTTGCACTCGCATGTGCAGCTTTCATACGGTGCTCTCTTGAGGGCCCTTTCAACCAAGGCCATTGGGAAGACACCAACACAATTAAGGGCTTCCCTAGTGATTTTGTCACATGGAATAGTAAGTTACCCATCTTGGAATCCCAGAGTTTGTTCCCTTTTCTTTCCTCCATCTCCCCCCCCCACCACACCACTCCTAGCCTAAGCTGTGAAGAAGGATCCATCAATGGCCTGATGAGGGATCCTCCAATCCAAGCAGCTCCTTTACGAGTCTCTCACCAAACTGTACTCGGCTGTACTTTTTCACAGGATAGGCGTCAGACATTTTGTACAGGATGTAAGCGTTGTTTATGGCAATGCTGATGGAGAACCAGAAGACTTGTTGCCAGGTCTTGTTTGGTTTATGAGAAATGAAATACCTAGAAAGCACCAAAGAGAGAGAGAGAGAGAGAGAGAATGGTGAGGTCATGAAATGAATTTTTAAAATGTGTCTTAAGTCAAGGAGGAAGGGATATGTTCAAAAAGCGGTAGGATCCAAATGCAGGGTGCTCTAAATTTCCACGATCTTTCAAGGTAATTATGAATGACATAGATAGAATGATACTCCACCTATCACCTTCCAGAATCTTTGGATAACTTCAATATCCAAAGTTCTCTCAGTTGTGTATCTGTTTTGTGAATTCACGTGGTCCCAATGCTTTGTAAACCAATTAGGCAATCTAAATTGGAGGTGGCGGGGATCCCGAAAGTTGCTTACTGATTTCATTAGGTTTTCTCATATTGTAATATTGAGATCTTCCTAGGTTGAATGCTTCAGGCCTTTCAAACTTTGAGGAATAAGGGAAATAAGATGGCAGCCCTGAACAGCAGCCTAGCCCGTCTTTTACATTTATTTATTTATTTTATTTTATTTGTATACCGCCCTTCTCCAGCAGGACTCAGGGCGGTGAACAGCCGAGATAAAACAGAGCATACAAAATTTAAAAAACAATTTAAAAGGTAATTAAATAATTTCGGCTCACAAATTAAAACAACCCAATTTCAAATTAAAACAAAAATGAATTTAAATGAAGATCTCAAGTTGTATGTTATATTTACTACTCCAACCTTAAAATCAGTGATTGGTTTATTCCTAGTGGATTTCTGTGATGTATTTCATATAATTTCATAGTGTTATTTGCAGGAATCACTGTGTCCCAGATTCATATGAAGTTTTCCATTGCTCTCCAAAACATAAGTTAAGTGCCTTTGTGTATCAATGCACTAGAGGTGGGAGCAAAATCACAACAAACCAAAAGAATAGGAACCAATCATGACCTCTAGAAGTCCTAAAATAAACCAATGAACCAAGCCCTTTTTTGGTGTAGCCTTTGAATAGACCACAATAGATACTTTTGAAAGTTCTGATTTCCTGTTTTTAAAGTAGGCAACACTTCACAAAACAGTGCTGCTCTTTTCTTGGATGTTGATTAGTGCACAACAATCCACCATCCAATTTGGCAACTTTACTGCTCACACAAGCCAGATTAGTGTGATGCTACAACTACCCCTGTGATTTTTGCAAAAGCAGCTCACGCAAATATTACCTTAGAAACTGAATACGGTTTCAGCTTCTAAGAATTCCACTTAATAAATTTCAATGAACTCTTGTACAAGAGGCTGAATAAGCAATGCCTCAGCTTGGTTTTGCCAAGTTCTTTCCTTTTTCTGTAGAGGTTCAGCAACCTCTACAGAACAACTAGTTCCATCCCACTGCTCCACTTTCTAGTCTATGGTACAGTCTGCTCACAACTTTTTGGGGGTATTCAGGATAGGAATGGCTATAAATCTCTCCTCCACCAGAAATTCAGTTCTACAGTCTAGATAACCACAGAAATCTTCATAGATGCGGTTATTTTATTGCCTGCAAAAAGTCACATACACTCAGAAGATTTGTCTGATGCCAACACAGAAACTAAGACATACACATATATCTCAGTCGTTTAAATCTTAAATCTTTTCCTGTTGCCCTTTTTGGGTAGCAGATTCTTGGTCATTCCTTTATACACTTTCAGAATGGTAAGCAGCTGCTTAATTTTAATACAGTTCTGTCTAGTCTAAGCAATCCAAATCCCTGCCTTGCCAGCTTTACAGTTTTAGAGCACTACAAGTACCTTATATCATTGTAGTGTAATTGTCTGTATCTGTTTTTTGTAAACATTTTTCTCTCAATCATTACACAGAACCAAAAAAGAAGAGAAAAAGAGAATGTCTTTAACTTTTGTTTTTCCTTGGCACAAGATAGTGGTAGAGCCTCGTTTCATTTATTCCAAGTTTTATTTCATTAAAATAATGGATAATAAATTGTTCAAAATGTACCTTGAACATAAATGGCCTAGATCACAGTAGTGTGATTGTCATCTTGGAATTTATCATTCCAGAAGAGTACGACAATTGACAAGCCATGTCCATTAAAATAGTCAACCACATGTAGCATCAACTATAACACAATATATTTATAATCACACATGCTATTACTTATATTTTAATATGCCACTCAGAAAAGGATACGGTTTTCTGACACTGTAATTTAAGTGGCTCCTATCAATCTATCATAATTTTTAAAACCTCCTGTAAACTATAGATAATTTAGAAAAAAAAACCTCCAATAAAAGTGTTTAGTGACCTTGGGTCAGACAATCTATTCTTTCTGCAGTTAAATTAAATACCAATATTCTTCCCTTCTCCTTTCTTTGGCAAAAATACATCTGTATATTGAAAATGTAGCTTCTGAATTATTTCAGTTTTCCTTTAGCTTAAAAACTTTTTATGTGGACCAATTTGGAAATACAGTCCCATTAAGCCATTATGATTACATCATCCTCAACTCAGATGGATGATCTCTTTTTCTCCAAAGAGAAATTAGAGATCAATTCAATGGCGTGTACTATATACAGTTTATCATATTTGTTGAGCCAATGTTCCCACAACTGAACTTTCACAAATGGATATTCTTCTGATACATTGAAACTCAAACTTCCAGAATCTAGCTGGTAAATTATGGGTCACACTGATTGGGATTTGGTAGTCCAGACTAGGGAAAACTGCCATATTATATCAAAATAGTGGGGGAAATTATTTATGTTTATTTATTTTTCAAATTTCTGAATTGCCCATTGTAGAGCACTACAAGTACCTTATATCATTGTAGTGTTTTTTCCATGTTCCCCAGCCCACAACATTGTCTATATATTGTCTAATAAGCTAAAGTTAGCTTATTACAGTAGCTCGCCACAAATCTCTCCACTTTTACTGCATAAGAATTGAGACTACTAATGGTCTGTTTAAAAACTGTCCTTGAGACAGGAGTTGAAGGGCAGCTGAAAAATCTATTAATAAATGAAAATTCTCTGCAACAGGCTTGAATTTTCTGGACTTGCCTGCTTCCATTTTACAGTGCCAAAGTCCATTTGGAGAGTCTATAATCTTTGAAAAGATGGCAATACCACTAATTTCTCAAGCCTGCCAGGAAGCAAGCTTGAAAACTGTGACCAGATTCTGCCTTTCCCTTCCTGAAATGTTTGGGAAATGTCCCAAGTTTGAAGTCAGGCAGAGACTTCTTGTTTGCTCAACTCTGAAGCTTCATGCAGTGGTGGGCTGCTCTTGGTTCAGACCAGTTTGAGCGAACCAGTAGTTCCAATGATCAGCTGGCCCCGCCCCCCGCCCCCCGCCTATCCTGTCCTATATTTCCTTTTTTCTAGCTCAACTGATTCATGCGGCACAGCTGATTTCTGCGCCTCCGCTGTTCTACTTACTGGGGCTGCCTTAGAAGGTAAGTAGCTGAGCTTCATATTGCTGTATTTTGAATGCTGCATGCAAACGTGTTAGGCGCGCATGCGCAAAGCTGGCATGTGCACACAAAGCACGTGCTCAAAGAACCAATTGTTAAACCGGTTGCAGCCCACCACTGGCTTTATGTGATTCATGTGCTGAATGGCTGTCACTGGTGTTTTGCAGGCCCTAGCTCTTTTTAAGGGGAAAATGATCTGGTCATATCACAAGTGGTTAGGCTTAAGCCATTGAATTTGGGGAACAGGGAGAACGTGAGAGATGTCTCCCCCCCACCTCCAAAGATATGCCAAATAGATATCCTTTTATTTGTCCCCTTGTGAATTCCATACCTTCATTGGATATACCATCTTTAGATACAAAGCTGAGCTGAAGCTATTTCATCTGGTTGAAATAATTTTGGAATAGGTTGAAAGGAAGACATTTTGGAAATTGTAGAGCTAATCCAAGCTACAATGAACCTAAAGCCAGAATGTACCCACTCAAAATCTGCTGCTTAAAGCAGCCATCTCCTTCTGTCTAATAATTGGCTAATTCTGGGAACAGGTATGTCATCTAAAGCTCTGCATGGTATGTCTTCAAACCCAAACAGATTTAATACTAAATATCAAAATGTAAGTTTCCGCTTGTTGAAGAACAGACAGGCCAGGGAGATAAAGAAACAAAGCTAAAGTTTTCTCATAAGCTGCAGTCTTGCTAGAAATCTCTCTGCCTTTCCAAAGCTGCTACCACCCTCTCATCAGAACTGAGTCCTCTTCTCTGGTTTTCAAGTGAAAAAGAAAGGTTAAATAATCACCTCTGATTATTGAATCTCTGTGAAAATGTATTTGGGAACATAAAACCAGCATGTTTTTTTTTTTTTAAAGAAGATTAGAGAAACCATACTGGTATAATTACGTACCTAACACAATCCATTTGTGTGTGTGTGTGTGTGTGTGTGTGTGAATATGTTCTTTTGAGTCACCATTAATTCCTGGCAACTGCTGAACAAATCCCTGCAGTTTTCTTGAAAAGATTGCAGAAGTGGTTTGCCCTTACTTACTTCCTAGGGCTGTGAGAAAGTGACTGGCCCAAGATCCACCCAGCTGGCTTTGTGCTAGAGTTGCACTACAATTTATGGTCTTCCAGTTTCTACCCAGATTCCTTCATCACTACACCAAAGTGGTTCTCTTTTCATGTGGAAGAATGTTAAAATGTGCAGTTCCCTATTTGCAGTATTGCACTGTCTAGATGCTACCTTTTCTATATTATAATATATTTGTAAATGTAAGGATATAATTTTATATAATTTTAACTATTGGACACAAATCTATAGCAGACTACACAACCATATCAATTCAATCTTTCTTACAGTTATTAGCTAGCATAACTCCACAGAATCAAACAACTGGAAGATGTCTGCTTGTTTACTGAGTCTAAATTCACCCCACCCCCAATCTAAATTCAATTCAGGAATCCAAAATAAAGCATCCATGATAGAGGACCTAGAAGCAGTGGTGGGTTTCAAAATTTTTTACTACCGGTTCTGTGGGTGTGGCTTGGTGGGTGTGGCATGGCTTGGTGGGCATGACTTGGTGGGCGTGGCAGGGGAAGGTTACTGCAAAATCCCCATTTCCTCCCGATCAGCTGAGACTCAGGAGGCAGAGAATAGATGGGGGCAGGGCCAGTCAGAATTTTTACTACCGGTTCTCTAAACTACTCAAAATTTCCACTACCGGTTCTCCAGAACTGGTCAGAACCTGCTGAAACCCACCTCTGCCTAGAAGGCTGTGAATGCACAGAATAAAGAGGTAGCTATCGCTTTATTTGGTAAGTGATTCCACTATCAAGCTATTCTTACTGTTGGAAAGAGTTGGAATCTCCTTTCCTGTGCTACTATCTGCCCTCTGAAATGAAAGGAAGCAGATTGTAGTCTTATTATGTACGTAACAGTTTTTCAAATATTTCAGGAGTTCTACCATACTCCCCTAGGCTCTCTTCTTAAGGCTAATAATATTCAGTTTCCCCAATCTTTTCTTAGAACTTAAGTTTCCATTCCTGTAATGGTCCTCAGTGCTCTTATTTAAACCAGCTGCATTTCCTTTGAATCTTGAGAACTGAAGATTTCACTAATGCAGTTTGGAAATAAACAACTGTATGTATATTATGTCCAAATACTTAAAAGTTGCTAAAGTGCCTACTTAAACAATTACATTTTTTAAAATAAATCTTCTGCCAAAAATGGTCAGAGATCGATTTCAGAAAAGTTGGTAGATAATTTCTTATATCATCCTGTTGCTGTACATATTGGGTCCTGAATTTTGTTTAAATGATTAAGAAACGTTTCGCACTTCCAACCACATAAGTTGTTGTGTACTTACTTGCTATATTTGTCATCATATTTGCAAATATAACTAAGATGAGCAGCAAAGGCTTCCACTGCCAGAGGACATGGTATCTCTCCACTCTTCCTCTTAATGATAACTCCTGTTGCAACCAAAATACATAAAATACCATCATGTCATACTGTTGATTGAAAATACTACCGGATTTGTTGAATCAATGGGCAACAGGTCATCCCATCCTGATTTTAAACGTATTGAGAAGAAAGTCCTACTTGGCTCAGTATTCAAAGAACATATGGAAAGTAGAATACTGTACAGCAGGGGTATCCAACCTTGGACTTCAACTCCCAGGATTCCCCAGGCAGCAAGGAGAGGATTCTGGGAGTTGAAGTCCACCAATCTTAAAGTTGCCAAGGTTGGACATTTCTGCTACACAGCATTAATTTCCAAATGTTTAGAAAATCTCTAGAAAGTGGAGTCAAGAGCCAATAATTACAAGGGATAGTTTTGAAGAGTTCTATAAATAGGGTAGCTTTACTAGCCTTCTTCCTTTCTTATGTTGAGATGTTTATGGAAGCGATTGAGGAAAATACACACAGACACCTGTCTAATTCTGTTTGTTATCTAGAAACATTTTTTATTTCCTGGCTGTAAGGCACAGTAACCCATTTAATACCCCTTGTCAGAATGTTTCCAGTTGTCTGCAGAAAGGAGAGCTGTTTGTTAATGGTTCTTGGTCTCCAAGGAAGTTGCTAAATGCTTGTAAAGTGGGCCATATTACAATGGCAGATTCTAAAGAGGGGCTACTCTTCATGCTGGCTGAGTTGAGTAACTTGTTGACTTTTGAATAATCATGTAGCAGATAGAGAAGAGTCTGATTTCCTTAAAGGTAAGAATTGTTGAACCTCATTGATTTCAGTAGAAAGTTGGTAAATGCCAGTTCAGAAGCCCAGTTTAGTTCAATAAAACTTAATTTAATATATACTGAATTGCTTTCTAAACCTTTTAAAATCAACTGGACATGGCACCATATTATGCTTAATTTTGAATGCATCTTCTCATTTAACATAACCAATTCTAATATATATATGTTTAAAAAATGGAAATAACAATAGCAAATGTGTAAGTCCACATGAATAACAGAATAACAGAAAGAGAGAAATATTAACCCTTCCTCTACTAGTGTCTTAAGTAAACAGCAGAATTTTCCCTCCTCAACCTACTGCTCAAAGATGGTGTGGTTTAAATTTATAAAATATGTGCGCAGCATTGAAAGATGCAGTTAACTTTATTCTGTTCTAGATTCTAATCTAGATCATCCAATTTTCTTACAGTTCAGACCTTACATATTCCCCTTCTCATAGAAAGAAGCCATCTTTACAGCAAACCACTCACCTTGTTGAATTGGAGAATAAGCATTGGTCAAAAATCTAAAGTAGCCTTTGTTGTACCAGCAGATCAAAGACATGTTTCCTTTCATTTTTATCCTGTAATGTCCTCGAGACTGGGAGGTCTCTGGGTTGTTTAGCATTGAGGAAGGCAGCCCTGTACAGTCACTTTTCCTTGTACTTAGCAATCCACAGCAATAAATGTCTATAGTTGGAAGATGATAAAACATTTGCATTAGAATGCTATCAGGCTGTGGTTCTAGCATAAAAACATGAACCAAGTCATATTTTTGTTTACCAAAATTGACCCCAAACAAATACTGCACTTCAGTCACATACTAGTTGTTGTCCTATTATCCTCCATACTTTCTAGCATTAAAATCTGAAAGACTTGATATCATTTTAGAAGGAAATATGACATGCCCAGGATAAGATGACACAACTAATTTCATCATTTATGTACTTATTATCCCTAAGAATGATACACAACCATATGTACCTTATCAATCTTCAAACTAAAAAGTGCAATTACAATAAAAACCAGAAATCTGTAGAGATGCTCAGTCTTTTTTTTTCCCCAGGAGGCAACTGGACTTTCTTGCTTTTTCTTTGAAGACGTTTCCCTTCTCATCCAAGAAGCTTCTTCACCTCTGACAGGACAGAGGGGAATAGAAGGGTTTATATTCCTTGCAGACAGCTGAAAGCATTTGCATCCTTTTAGAGGGTCGTTGAAGCACTTGGAGGTCTGCAAGGAATATAAATCCTTCCATTCCCCACTATCTGTCAGAGCTGAAGAAGCTTCTTGGATGAGAAGCAAAATGTCCTCAGAGGAAAACCAAGAATATCTAGTTGCCTCCTGAAACAAAAGCACCTTTGGGATAATAAAAACCAGAGGTAATTAAAACAACACCTTTCCTTTAGTTCTGACTAGTTGTAAAAAGAGTATCATCTGTACAGAAGTCACATCTCTCATGAAACTGTTTTGAAATAGTCTAATGGCATTAAAGGATGGGGCGTGGAAAATCTAGTGTTAGGTGAACATATGATTTGATCAAAGAAGTTTATGGGTGAATACATGTGAGAAAGAGAGACCTATGACCCCTAATCTTACTAAGGAGCAACTGCATCAATGGTCAATGGTTCCAAAATGGTGGGTAGAATTGGATAATCAGAACCTCACCCCTTTTTAACATGGGTCAAAGGAAGGGTTCTGATTGCCTGTCACAGCCACCCTTTTGAAGCCAATGGCTTCCAACCAACCTGACCTGTGCTACAAATCTCCGATTCTTTGTTAAAATGAAAAGAGAAATTCCAGCTCAAAATCCTCTGAAGAGGCTCTTCAGTGGACCACATTAATAAATGAGATGTGGAAAACATAAAACAACTGAAAGGGAAACACACAGTGACTACTAGAACATGCAATGAAATGTAACAGTGTCTGAATCAATTGTCTTGTCCTTTGTTTTTAAGTCTGAATCATACGTTTCATCCAAAACTATATTGTGCCACAACACAACAGTGCAAAAATTCAATTGCATGAAGGCAGTCCAGATGATCACAATCTGATCATATGCTGGTCCTTCATCTAATGTGGTTCATTGAATGTCTCCATTCACAGAATCAAACCCTTTATCTCACACTCAGTCTAAGAAAGAAAAAAAATAAGACAGCCATCATGGTGATACCCTCTACATTTTAACTGGTTCCTTCTTCAATAGCTTTTGAGTAGCTATTTTCATGCCACTTGTCACTTTGAGTGACCTTGCTGCTAAAGCAAACAGCAAATGGCTTTTTTTCAAAACAAACAATAAAGACTGAGGCGCTCTCGCTCTCCCTCCCTCTCTCTTTCTCTCTCTCTATCTCTCTCCCTCCCTCCCTCTTCCTCTCTCCCTGTGTGTGTGTGTGAGAGAGAGAGAAAGACAGACAGACAGAGAGACAGTAACAGAGACAGAGAGATGGGGGGGGGAGAGGGAGAGACTGACTGTGTGTGAAGATTTATTGATGACAACTTCTAATGATCTTTCCCAGAGAAGCCAAGGGAGTTGTTTTGGAAAAAATAGAAGTAGACAAATGAGGCTGCAATTCTCTCCAGAGTTACAAGGGGGGAAAAGCCCTGTTGATGCTAGTGGAACTGATTTTTGAATGGGAAGCATAAAATTGGTCTGAACATGTGTAGAGGTCTGTTATGTAGGTGTTATGAGAGAGAGGGGGGGAGAGAGAGAGATCAGGAGGGAGGGAGGGAGAGGGAGAGGGAGAGAGGCTCATAATCCAAACATTAGCTACAAATCCCAATGTTTAAACTTTTTTAAACATAATTTTATTAAAAATAATTGCAATAGTAAAACTAATACAAACTAAAAAAGAAAGAAAAGTAGAAATTGCAAAGGAAATGAAAAAAATGTAAAGAAAAGAATGTTAAGTATATAGTGTGTGTGTGTGTGTGTGTGTGTCTCTTTGGTTATTCGGGTTTTCTCCCGTGTAAAATTGGAAGTGTCTTGGCGACGTTTCGACGAAGTCTCATTCGTCATCTTCAGGCTGGTGTTTTCGGCTTCGTGCTTCTACACCAGTCTGAAGATGACGAATGAGACTTCGTTGAAACGTCACCAAGACACTTCCAATTTTACGTGGGAGAAAACCTGAATAACCAAAGACCTACATACAAACACCCGCAAAAACCTCAGAAAACAAGTGTGTGTGTGTGTGTGTGTTCGCAGATTTTCACGGGTACAGGTATGCAAGTCTTGGTGTATTCGGGTCTTCTCCCGTGTAAGATTGAGAGCACTTTGGCAACGTAGCCAAAGAGATCTCAATCTTAAAGGGGGAAGACCCGAATACACCAAGACTTGCAACCATTTGCTTTAAAATGAAATTTAAACATAAGAGTTGGAAGATCAACTTTCAACACAACCTGAAAGAAGGAAAAATACTAAGAATTCCTAGAGATTATACCGTGTGAACGCTACCAGAAGACCAAACATAGGAACACCCACAAACCATCTTCATTGGTCCAGAAATGCTATATCATCCATGATTTTGCTATCCTCCCCTGCCCCAAAACTCAACAATGAGACACACATAATCTCCAATTTCTCATAATAACAAAGGAAATCTTCAAAAACCAATGTTTCATTGGGAGAGCCATATTTATATCTAGCAATGTAATAAGAGTAACCTTCATGATGGTTTGGTTTCAGAGGCCCCACAAAGGAGTGTTCTAAGATCCATGCATTGCCTGGCAACTAACCTTGTTTTTCAAATTCTTCAAAGAGGTTGAGGCTGGTAATGCTGGGGCCAGTGAAAATGATACAGTTTTTCCCTGTGACATTCTGACAAAGACTCTTGGCCACTATGCTGTGAAGTTGAGCTTTGTTCTTCAAAGCATCTAGACCTTCAGTCCCACTGCTTTCTTTCAGATGGGCGTAGATCTAATCATCAAATAAAAAATAGGGTAGGTAGGTGGACAGAGAACAGCAAGGGAAAAAAAGTTAATGTACAAAGAGATTTATGACATGTTATTGACCAATCCTTTCCCATCTGGCACCCTCAAGATGCCTTGGACTTGAACTTTTGTAATCTCCAATCTTGTTTATTTCCCAGTTGGCTATGCCTACTGGTAGTGGGTAAAATGAGATTTTAATTACATAGTCCTTTCCCAATATTTTGTCAGTTTTCTTCTCTCTCAAAAGAAACAACATTCCCGATTTCATTAGAGGAAAGGTCACAATTTCACCCCTCAAGATCCCTGACAAGAAGCAAGATTTCAACCTTATCTCTTGGATTCAGCCTTTCCAATTATTTTACTCTAGAATCCACCGGTAGAGTCAAGAGCTTAATGTCATCTCAAACCTGGAGCAGTTGTCAATGAATGATCAAAGATACCACTCAAGCAATGAAACAAACTATATAGCCATAATCATTACAGTAGTCCTGCCTGGACTGGACTACCGTAATGCTCTCTACATGGGGCTCCCCTTGAGGGGCACCCGGAGGCTCCAACTGGTCCAGAATGCGGCCGCGTGGGTGGTTATGGGGGCGACTTGGCGCTCCCATGTAACACCTCTTCTGCGCGAGCTGCACTGGCTCCCAGTGGTCTTCCGGGTGTGCTTCAAGGTATTGGTTACCACCTTTAGAGCACTCCATGGCTTAGGACCTGGGTATTTACGAGACTGCCTTCTGCCACCGATAGCCTCCCACCGACCAGTACGCTCCCACAGAGAGGGGCTCCTCAGGGTGCCGTTGGTAAAACAATGCCGACTGGCGGCCCCCAGGGGAGAGCCTTCTCTGTGGGGGCACCTACCCTCTGGAATGAGCTGCACCCGGAGATACAGCGGATCCCGGATCTTCGCACCTTTCGCCATGCCCTAAAGACGTTTTTATTTCAGCAAGCCGGGCTGGCCTAATTTTTTAAATTGTTTTAATTTTAAATTGTTTAATTATGGTCTTAATACAGGGGTGCTTTTAATTCTGGACCAAATTAATTTAATTGGATTTTAATATTGTTTTTAAATTTTGTATTTCTTATGTTTTATCTGTTGGCTGTTCACCGCCCCGAATCCTTCGGGAGAAGGGCGGTATATAAATATAAACAATAAATAAATAAATAAATAAATAAATAAATAAATAAATAAATAAATAAATAAATTCAGGAAGGCTCAATTGTACTATAGTCTAACTGCAGGTTGTCATGCTGGCTGAATTACGGATGTTTAGCCTAAAAACAGCCAGCTCAACTTCACACTGTGGCTATACCAGTTTAAATTGTGATTCATTAATCTGACTTGTTTTGAACAAAACAGCTCTAAAATTAATCACTGTCCAGGTGACTTTAGAGGTTGATTAAATGAAACCCTGATAGCTTTTCTGAAGCAGAGGGAAACCTGAGAATTAGAGAGGAGTCTAATATTTATTTCCCTCATAATATAGTTTACCATTATGCCCAAGTAGCAGTAGCAATCTTGACTTTAACAGAATAACAAAGTTGGAAGGGACCTTGGAGGTCTTCTAGTCCAGCCTCCTGCTCAAGTAGGAAATTCTACACCATAGCAATAGCACTTAGACTTATATACCACTTCATAGTGCTGTACAGTCTTCTCTATGCGATTTACAAAGTCAGCATATAGCCCCAACAATCTGGGTCCTCATTTTACCAACCTTGGAAGGATGGAAGGCTGAGTCAACCTTGAGTCCTGTCAGGATTGAACTCCTAGCTGTGGGCAGAGTTAGATTGCAATACTGCATTCTAACCACCGCACCTGCACAGCTCTTTATAGTGCATAAGACCTTTATGTTTGCATTTGTTTTTAAAAATGCATTAAAAAGTAAAATTGCAAATGTTATATAAAAATAGGCCAGTATGGAAAGAAGCATAGATGATACAAATGCTTAGCTTTTATTTATTGTATTTTTATTGTTTTTTTCTCTTCAGACAGATATAACTGTTGAATCAGGGTTTATATAATAGGGATTGTTCAGTTCTTCAGTGCTGCTTGATTAAAAAAAAAAAGACAGATGGCTAATTCTCCTACAATTCTGCCCTTGAAAAGGAAATTCACCCCAGGCTTACATTTTTCACTCTTAGTGCAGAGCTAGTAAATCAATTAAGGCTTGAGAGCCAAATAGACCTATTCAAAATTAGGGCAGGCAACATCATCCATTAACCTACACTGAAAGATTTCTACTTAAAATATCCAGAAGTTTACAAATAGAAGAAAGGAAGGAAGGAAGGAAGGACCAGACACATTCATAAAATACTGTAGTTGTTGATCATACATATCCACAGGAGCAAATGTAAAAAGGCAAGCCAAGAAACATGTATAAGTATCAATGACAGTAAAAGAAAAGTCTAAATTGCTCGTAAGTTTCATTTCCATGCATTTAAGCAGCAGAGCCATGAAACTAAAAATTTCAACAAAGAAGAAATTTTGTCAAATAGTTGAGCATATCTCAGGCTAAAAAACGTAGTGGTGTAGGGGTGAAGGCACCAAATTAGAAACCAGGAAGACTGAATTCTAGACCCAGAGGAGGCACAAAGACAGCTGGGTGACCTTGGCCCAGTCACTCTCTCTTCAGCCCTAGGAAGAAGACAAGAGCAAACTACTCCCAAAAAAGTTTGCCAAGAAAATTGCAGGGGCTTGTTCATGCAATCACCAGGAGCTCAAATTGACCCTAAGGTACCAAAACAACACTCAAACCGTAAAAGCATAAGCAAGAAAATTTGTTTATTCTTGTCACAGATAGGATAGCAACAAATCATTTAAAACTGTAGAGGACAAAACTATAAAGTCCACTCCCTTCAGCAGGTTATAATAGTCAACATGTCCACTGTTTTTCTTTATTTTTTTCCCCTCCATTTACACAAGGAAGGGACAAAAGCAACAGGAGAGCAAAACAAGTGGATAGAACTGAGCACTTATTTAGACAGGCTCAACAGGGAGAGGTCAGGTGAAATAAAAGGTTGCATGACTTTATTACATCCAATGGAAATAGCCCAAGGCATCTTTTGGTCTTTTGTTTTATTTTGTTCATTTTAAAAAGACCCCTGTGCACATATATGATAACATCATATTCTCCTTCTTCTTACTGGAGAATAAATTTAACTATAGGAAGGAAAAGAGCAACTTTCCAGAGGAAACAAACCAGGGGGGATATTCATTTACTTTCCCTACCGGTTCGCAAATGTGAGCTTGCATACGTGCTCTCTCACTTTGCTCGCACATGCCACTTCCTCACATGCGCAGGGCCTTCTGCACATGCGCTTTGCTCACACATGTGCCTTCCATGCATGCACCCGGCCTCAAAAACATGCCTAAATAGGAAAGCATAGAGCTGGGGCGGGTGGACAGGCCCACCCATGATTTCCACTATCGGTTTGGGTGAACCGGTCCAAACCGATTGAATACCACCTCTGAAGCAATCGTCGTCAACCTTGAAGCTGACCTGGCCAAGGCCATTTTGAGGCTTCAGTGTTGCCACACTGGAGCTGAGGGATAGGGAGGGGGGAATAGAGATAGCTGGGGTTTTGTAGCCAAAACAAACTACTTTCTCCTGGGAACCAAGGACATTCCCACAGGTGGTCAGAGAGAGGAGGAGTGAAGTTACCAGGCAACTGGACAACACCTTGATTGGACCATGTGACTGATTGTTTGGGGAAGGGAAAAAACTTTTACTTTTAATAGGTGAAAACCACGGGAACATTTAGAGTCGGTTTTCACCAGCCTGTGCCAATATGATATATCCAATAAAACTATTCTTTGAGGAATTTACCTGATTCCTCAAAGTTCTGTTTGCTATGGGTGTATTACTTGGAACCGTGACAATCGTATGTTTGTAAGAACATGAATCAAATGAGAAGAAAGGCAAACCAAACAGAATCCTCCTGGTCATCTCTTCCAAAATTAAACATTTCTTTAACTCCTTGTGGAAAAGAAAATCAGGAATAAAAGAGGGAGTGAAGGATTTATTGAGTGGAAAAGAACAGAATTTGACCCAGCATTAATTTACAGCTAACAACAGAACACAGAAAAAGTGGACTCAGCTAGAAGATGTCCATTTGGGAATTCTAAGCTTGATGTCTGCCAGAAAGTTTGTCCTCTTTCTTAGAGAGTTAACTAAATTCATATATTCGATCAAAATTAGGCCAGTTCACTTTCAAAAGCAGATCAAATGACTTTTACCTATTATCCTGCACTATTACTCTTATTTGATGATGAAAATAGAGATGGGCAATGTTTTATGCCTTGAAAAGTGCTCTTGACTTTGATTTATACACTGAAGTGCAACATGCCAAAAAGGAGGATAAGATGGGCACAGATTTATTGATTGATTGATTGATTTAGTTAGTTAGTCAGTCAGTCAGTCAGTGTCAGATTATTCATGAACTGGCAGAGACATGGTAACAAAGTCAGCCAATGAATAGGCATAGCAACTAAGTCAGCTAATGGGAGCTGAAACAGTTTGGAGGCTGGGCGTGGCTCAGCTCTGTGCTGTGCTGAGAATTGAAACTGAAACTAGTGTGTGAACTTGTCTGCTGACCTGAGTTGCAATGAAATTGTTCTCTGCTGTTGGTATTGTATATATATTCTTGTATATAAAGAAGTTTCTTATTTAAATCAATTTGCCTGTGTGTGCTTTCTGGATTTTTTGCAACAAACTCTGATACTTAGTTAGTTTGTAATTTAAATGCAGGCAAGCTTATTATTCCCTTGTATTTAATAATTTGACCCACTGCAACTTCAGTATGTACAATTCAGTGGGAACATCTGGGACTGTATCCCAAATTCTCAAGGAGCGCCTTTTTTGCAGCTTCAAGGATATAAAAAGGGGGTTCTAAATTCCAAATTCTGAACTTTATTCTTCCTATGCAGACAAGCTAAATCTTTGTCATTACACAGTCATATAATTAGATTCTCTTCAAACCCAAAACAGGCAACTGAAAGCTACCAGATCACAGGGATGTGAATGTCTAACATGAGGGTAACAAATGTCAGTTTCATGTCAGAAGATCAGTTTGAAGGTTCTGTCCTTTGATCAATGGGGGATGGGGTTGCTATTAAAAATAAGGCAAGTATTCCTCTGTGGGTGATGATAGCCTAGGGCACAGAGGAACTCACTTCATGTGATACACAAAATCCTAATTAATAAATCACAGTTGCTATGTTCAAGTAACATATCACATCCAAAAGAGTACGTAGTTTAATGCAATGGCTTGATAGCCCCAATATACTTAACTACAAATTATCCACCCCAAGTATATTTCTTTTAACACTAGATTTTTACAAATTCCTTTTGGGGAATATGCACACATAAGGATTGTAGCAGAGATAATACAACTTCTTCTCATTTAATTCAATTATATCTCTGGTTAAGACTAATCATTCTCCCCACAGCTAAAGCTTCTTTTACAATACTGAGCAAATTATTGTTTTCTTCCTGCACAGAACAGCAGGCAGTCTCCAAATAAGTGGTTGACTTCAACTTGGCCTTTGTATAAATGCACCCAGGAGGTCGTCAACATAAACTCAAATATGCATTTAAGTATATAGTCACTGGGGGGGAAAAATCCCACATCTGTCATTGCAACCATGGACCTAAGGGGTTCATGCTTTGAAGTATTCATTTCAAAACTTCATAAAAATCCTTTCCTATGTGACTCTTTTCTAATGTTAAGAAAGTGCTCTCAAGACGCTGATAAACAAAAGCTCTTGAGATTATTGTGAATGTTATTTGGAAGCCAACACAAGTGTCAATTGCCTTCCTTTGTTCACGCTGTTGAGGTTGATGCCATGATATGCTGAATACTATCCACATTCATTGACCTAACACTAACAGTTTGATGATATATATTAATGAGGATGGACAGAACATAAATTACCGCTACAGCCTGGTATATTTGAAATGGCTACATTTTTGCCAGATTTGCTTTATCATCGATAGCCTTTGTCCTATGCCTGTTACCATGCAAAGCAAAACAGCACATTGCTTAAATAAAAAATGTGATTTCATAATAACTCAGTGTGGGGAAGGGAAAACACCGGCTTCCTTGTAAGTATGACATATGCTTCCTTGTAAGTATGACAATGGGTGCCTGCAAACTCAGCACTCCCTAAGCATAAAGGCTGCTCTGAAGGAAAGGCAGATGTGAGGGTTGAAGAAGAAGCTTGAAGGAGGTGGCAGATGTCAGAGGAGGACAAAGAGAAGCCTACAGAGAAAGTGCTCTGCTAAATAAGCCTGACCAGGCCTGTATAAATAAATTTTTCCACCCTTCCCTGTTGCCTGACTAGGACTGAACTCATTGCCCAGGCAGGAAAGAGAGCTTGTTCCTCATGCTACGAAGTCTTACTTAGAAGGAAGGAGGAGACCAGAGACCACTCAAGTAAGGAGCGGCTGATATGCTGAGGCCAGAAGGCTTATTGAGACTATGTGAATATAGAAGAACAAACCTCAAGCCTGGACAACAAGCCTAGCAGGACCCCAGGATGACATAGAGCCCATCAAGTAGTTGGTTTGATTGCTGTTGACAGAGGAGTGAGAATTTATTGGATTTTTGTATTGGGCTCTTATTTCTATAAGCTGCCTGGAGTGAGTTGGACAACCATATAAATTTTCTTAATAAATAAAATAAATAAACAACTGCAACCAGACCTATTTACTCCCTTGTTTAGATATTTTATTTTGAGGGTTACTTCGATTTCTTCATTTGTATTGCTGAGATTTCAAAAGGTCTATTTTTATTATCGACCCCTGTCCAGGAGTGAAATTCAGCAAGTTCTGGAGAACCGTTAGCGAAAATTTTGAGTAGTTTGGAGAACTGGCAAATAGCTGGCCCCAGAGTGGGGTGGGAATGGAGATTTTGCAATATCCTTCCCCCAGGAGTGGGGAGGGAAATGGGATTTTGCAGTATCCTTCCCCTGGAGTGGGGTGGGAATGGAGATTTTGCAGTACCCTTCCCCTGCCACGCCCACCAAGCCATGCCCACAGAACTGGTAGGGGAAAATTTTGAATTTCACCCCTGCTCAAGGGACTGGATGAAATAAACTTCATTGGAGAGTCCAGAGTTTGCTTTCCTGTTACTCACTAGTCAGCTCCCCATCTCTCTGTATGCTCAACTTACATAAGCATTTGCTACAAGCCATAATGAAGTCACATGCTTTAAGATTTCATCATACAAATAATAGAACTTATGGAATTTGCATCAGTAGCAACATAACAGATTACATTATTAATTTGAACAATGTGTGCCATAACATTGTGATACATGTAATTTCATTTGCCTCTTTTGCCCACGTAGACATGAGAACTGCTTTATTATGCCTTTTTTCCATGACTGAAACCTAATATTACTTAATCTTACAATGAAGGATATGAAGCTACTCTATAAATATTTGGGCTCAATGCTGGGGTAGGAAACAACTTACAGTGTGGTGTCATGATGGAAATCCTGGACCAAAACTGGAGAAATTGGACTACCGTCACTTCAGTGGTGGAATTCGATTTTTTTTTTACTACCGGTTCAGTGGGCATGGCTTGGTGGGCGTGGCAGGGGAAGGATACTACAAAATCTCCATTTCCACCCCACTCTGGGGCCAGCCAGAGGTGGTATTTGCCGGTTCTCCGAACTACTCAAAATTTCCACTATACCGGTTCTCCAGAACCTGGCAGAACCTGCTGAATAGCACCCCTGCATCACTTCCTCTTAGCCTAAAATACCTAAAATAATCTTAAACATTGGGCCCTATCCAATAAAATGCAGTTCTATGGTGAGAAAAGTACGGTCCAAAATTAGGCAGGAAACCCCAAATGCACAGGTATAGAATAGGCAATACCTGGCTCAACAGCAGTAACTGTGAGAGGGATCGAGATGCCCTAGTAGACAGTCCTTTAAACATAAGCCAGCAGTGTGCTGCAACTGCCAAAAAAGCCAATGCAGTCCTAGGATGCATCAACATCAAAATCAAGATCACAAGAAGCGATAGTACCACTTTATACTGCACTAGTGAGACCCAACTTGGAATACTGCTTCCAGTTCTGGTCTTGCCTTGACTTCCAAGCTCCTTTCCTGCCCTATGATTCTATGACTTCTATGAATAATCAAATTCTTTTGAGAATAAAATGATAGGAATAACCTTTGGGAACCAGTTTATTGTAGCTCCTAGAAAGAAGGAAACATATAAATGCAATAAACAAGTGAACAGGTGATCATGACAGATTTCAGAAGGTGAAATGGGGGAATTTCAAAATACCAGTCCAAAAAGCTATGATCGATTATAAGTCCAGTCCAAACTTTCCTACAGTATGAATTTGCTACCTTTTAGCCCTCCATGTCCAACAAACATATTGATTAATTGATTGATTGATTGATTATTTGGATTGGTTGACAGACATGCCATCAACGTGTTTTCAGTTTCATGCAACCAAGTAGATAAATTTCACTATCACAATCTATCCCAAACTGTTATTTCAGGTCTTCCAACAGTACACTCATCATTACTGGTAACTGAGTCCAAATATATATGTAGCAATGGATAAAACTGATAGTAGGATGGGTTTCCTGGAGAAATAGCAGGAGTTGTTGGCCTACCTCTTGAGTTTAGGAGAATTTTATTTACATTTATTTATATTTAAAAAAATTATATCCTGCTCTTTGAATGCACAAGAGCCCCTTAATGAGATTAAGAGAAATATTTCCATGCCTCCTGACCCAGTTAATTGAATAAAAAAGAATGGGAAGTGTTATGTAAATAGGTTTGTTTGGCGGGAAGTTCGAAATAACTGACCCTCAGCTGATTGGCTGACCACTACTGTTGTAAGGTATACAAAGGGAGCTGGCTCCCAGGTTTAGTTGCTGGAGTCTCACCATATAATAAAGAGCTGTTGTCACGAACTACTCTGGCTTGCTGCGTCCTCATTCACCCAACTTAACAGGAAGTTACAATTTCCCATGGATAACATAATGTTCACTTGGGAGAAAACCCAACAGAAAGATTGGATACCAAAGAAAATTGCCAGAAACTCAATGGAAGTAAATTGCTACACTCCATCAATTTGACATAGCCATAGCATGAACTAACACTGCTGAATGGAATTTAATAGCATCCATCATTTTGTACTCGGAGATTAGCCCCCAAAACATACATTTTGAAAGGTAGGTTGCAACAGTGGCTTATGCATCCCCATGACAATGAAATCTCTTAGAAAAGGAGTGTCAAACTCAGGTTGTCATGGTGGCGTCACATGACTTATCGGGACTTTTTCCCCCTTCACTAAACCGGGTGTGTGTGTGGCCAGCACGTGACATATCTGGCCCACGAGCTGAGAGTTTGATAGACCTGTCTTAGAACTATTCTTGCTTCAATACTTGCTATATACAGTCATCTGTTGCTAGAGAAGTTTCACTAAAAACTTCCTACTCAATATCTTGGGGGAAACTTCAACTGGGCATGAATCACATGTCTATAAACTTGGATCTATATTTTTTTTCTATGTAGGATAAAAGTCTCCTGAAAGTGACATTAGACCACACAGCTTCTTTAAATGGTGACTTGGAACTTAGCAAACTATTCTTCTGGCACTTACCTGGCATATAAAACCGGTTGATGAGCACTGCCGTACCCAGAGACTGAATTTCCGTTTTTTTCTCTTACGTAATTCTCGCTCTGTGCAGGTGGCAATGAAAACTGGATCTTCATCAATCAGAGGCTCATGGAGTACCTAAAGTCATAATATGCTAATGTTATTTGGTCTTAGGTCATGAAACCATTTTTAGAAATCCTCTTAAGCATGCCAAAATTGAATCAATCTCTTATACAAGTGGTGGTCTACCCAATTTAATGGATTAGAAAGTAACCCATATATATATATCCTCCCCTATTTTTCACCCATCAAATATGTACTGTAATAATGGGCCTCAATTCTCATATTAAATATTCCATGAAACAAAGAAGCTAGTGAACAATGTCTAGAAAAAACATCAACCAGGTATTATAAATTATCTTAATCACAAGTCTTGTTGAAGTGTATCTCCGATTGCTGAATACATATTCTAATTATGTAGATTAGAACATTCAATTGTGGTATCTGTCCATGTCATCTTAAGAACAAAAAATTCACCATCGTAAATTGCAGTGTTTTCTTTGGCACTGACAAATTGGAGAATGCTTATAATGAACTTGATTCCTCCAGAAGACTCATCTTGGTAATTGTAATTCCCATCAGAATGTTAAACTTTGCCAAGTGAATGGTGGTTTTTGCCAATTGTGTTGTACTTCTCCTGATGATGCCAAGAGCATCAAAACTATCAAATGAGCATTTAAAAAAGGAAACGAAAGGTTATCCAGTCAAACAATGGACTGTTTTGATAGAAGAGAATATATGTAGCTCAGGATTTATTTATTTATTTATTATTCCAATTTATATACCCCACTTCTCCCGAAGGACTCAGGGCGGTGTACAGCCAAAAGTAAAAGCACACAAATATAAAATTTAAAAACAATTTAAAAGCATATTAAATAATTTGGCCCAGCTACTCAAATAAAACACGCATTTTAAAATTTTAAAAAATTAAAAAAGTTTAAAAATTAGGCCAGCCCGGCTTGTTGGAATAAAAACATTTTGAGGGCACAGTGAAAGGTGCGCAAGTCGGGAATCCTTCGTATCCTGGAGGGCAGTTTGTTCCAGAGGGCAGGTGCCCCACAGAGAAGGCTCTCCCCCTGGGGATCGCCAGTCGACATTGTTTGACCGATGGCACCCGGAGGAGCCCCTCTATGTGGGAGCGTACTGGCCGGTGGGAGACTATTGGTAGCAGCAGGTGGTCTTGTAAGTACCCAGGTCCTAAACCATGGAGCGCTCTGAAGATGGTAACCAACACCTTGAATCGCACCCAAAAGACCACCGGTAGCCAGTGCAGCTCGCGCAGGACAGGTGTTACATAGGAGCGCCATGTCGCTCCCACAATCACCCGCGCGGCCACACTCTGGACCAGTTGGAGCCTCCGGCTGCTCTTCAAGCAGAGCCCCATGTAGAGAGCATTACAGTAGTCCAGGCGGGAAGTGACAAGGGCATGAGTGACCGTGCGCAAGGAGTCCCGGTCGAGAAAGGGACGCAACTGGCGAATCAGGCGAACCTGATAGAAGGCCCCCCTGGCCACAACCATCACATGCTCTTCTAAGGACAGCCGTGCGTCCAGGTTGCTCGCAACCCAAGTTGTGAGCCCTCTCCGTGGGGGCCAACGACTCGCCCCCAATAGTCAGCGATGGCATAAACTGGCTATACCGGGACACCGGGAGCCACAGCCACTCAGTCTTGGAAGGATTGAGTCTGAGCCTGTTCCTCTCCATCCAGATCCGCACAGCCTCCAGGCACCGGGACATCACGTCAAGGGCATCACTGGGGTGGTCCAGGGTGGAGATGTACAGCTGAGTATCATCAGCATACTGATGGATGAACTGTGGAGTCCTTAGCGCTCTCTTGGTTGTTTGCAGATATTTCATTACCCAACTAGGTAACATTATCAGTGCAAGAGACGTGTGGGGGTTTATCTACAGTAACTTGGCCCTCCAGTGTTTGATGGGGGCATGGGTTTTTCCCCCCTTGGTAGTTCCTCAATTAGGGTATTGTTTTCTGCTTCTTTGCCTGATATTAATCCTTGTTTATTTGAGTGTTGGTCTTTTTGTTTCCTTCTTAGCTTTTTTATGCATATGGAATGGTAAAAAGAATTGAGGATGGAGGAAGCAGGTACTATAAATTAATAAGAGTTCTTTTCTGAAGTAATGTTATTGTGGTTCTATTTACATTAGGTAATTAGGTGTAATGTAGTCTATGTCAGTATTTTAGCACATCCTTTAAATCCCATTATGCAAAACCACACTGCCATTTGTCCTGGTTTTTTGCTTTTGGTTTTTTTGAAGAGTATTTTGAGATGAGCATGGAGCGTCTCATGGAAATGGGTACCATGAATTACAATCTGATTTTTAAGTGGAAAAGGGCACAGTGGGTTTTTTAATTTTTCCATTGTCAATAGCTGACTTTTATAAAATTTTGGAGTAATCTGAATGTAGGCAATTTTTTTTTCAGATGAGGGTTTCTGTATTAGGACAGATGTTGGCCATGGGAAAAAATTAATTAGGGTGGAAGGATCTAGAGATAGGTAAATAGAGCAACCTGTAAGTCATTGAACAGTTAAAAGGTGATGGTAGTCCTTATTTTAAATAAAACATGAGTGAGTCTATAGATGACCTGTATATCCCCGCCCAAAAAAGCTATAGATCATCATCAAACCATTTATTTGTTTAAGAATATTTTAACTAACAAACCCAGGTATCTCAGTAAGTAAGTTAAAAGAGATCATGGCAGCTATTTTAGTCAGGATAGATTTATGTGTTTATTTTAAAGATTTATGTGGCTGCCCATCCTAAGGAACCATAAAACCAAAAAATAAAACAGTCATAAAACAATAAAAAATAATGAAATAACAAACCAAAATTTACATTTAAAATAATGTTGGACACTTCCAACTCTACACCAGTCATTATTAGACTATATGCTCCCAAGTAGAAGAAAATGCAGAATAACTAAAATAATACTCGATAATTAAGTAGCAGCAGTTCCCACTTAAAAATAATAAATAAAAGCTCATAATATAGTTGCCCTGGATACAGACAAGTGTATGCTTTAACCCAGCTCTCTATGAATGCTAGTAGACATTTGTTAGGATTTGAAGTAAAAGTTGGGTTTTTTAAAGAAAGATGTGGGATAGGAAAGCTTCATTTCTACCTAAACTATAAGAGAGAGAAAGAGAGAGAGAGAAATTACTAGGAAACTCCTTTTTGCCCCCTAAAGACAGAGACACATTTAGTTAACAACAGGCAAGTGGTGGCATAAGAATACCTTATATCACTAGGCTTGAAATTTTGGGCTTAGACAATTTAGAACTATGCCGCCTTCGGTCTGACCTAAGTGTAGTACACAAAATTAATTGCTACACCGTCCTACCTGTCAATGATTTCTTCAGCTTCAACCGCAATAATACACGAGCACACAATAGATGCAAACTTAAGGAAAACCGCTCCAAACTCGATTGCAGAAAATACGACTTCAGCAACAGAGTGGTCAATACCTGGAATGCACTACCTGACTCTGTGGTTTCTTCCCCAAACTTTAACCTTAGACTGTCTACTGTTGACCTCACCCCATTCCTAAGAGGTCCTGTCCTAATATCCCCATTTATTTGTATCCATTTCCTGTATTCATAATCATGTTTATACTTATATCTGTTATCTTATACCTGTTTGACAAATAAATAAATAAATAAATAAATAAATTATTATTATTATTATTATTATTATTATTATTATTATTATTAACAACAACAACAACAACAACAACAACAGTATGGCACGTGAATGATTAATAACAACAGTATGGCATGTGAAGACTCCTTCCCCATCTATCAGGGTAGGATCCATAGGTAGAAAGAGATGATGCCATAGGCAATGAATAATAGATCCATTCTGTGTACTACTTTCCCATATTCTGAATTGGAAACCTGGAACTCCCTCTCACATGATACAAGCCTCCCCCCACCCCTTGCAAAAAAGCTGCAGGCTATCCTATCAATTCAATAAATAAATATTGAATGTTTTAATTCCCACATTCCAACATGCTATACGTAACACAATATTTATTCCAGCAACTGCCTTTTGTCATTAGGAAAAGCACTAAATGCCATGCTGTTTATTTTGGCTCTCTTCAGTGTTTTATGCATCACTGTAAAATAATAGTCACACTTGGTACATCAGGAAATAAATTCAATAACCAAAACACTGTCAACAGAACGTGATGCCAAACCTAAAGGGTTCTGAATAATTCATTCAAAATCAGTATTAAACCACACCTAGAAGGCTACTTTAGCATTTTCTTGTCTGTATCCTTCCATTAGTCTGAAAGAGAAGCTAGCCAAGAGGCAACACCAGTTGAAAAGCTGTAGCTGTTTTCCAGGTACAGTCTATTACAGATTCGTGGAAAGTATCAGATGTTCTAAAAATTGTTTAACATTGTACAGTTCTTATTCAAAGGGTGTCCATAGACAAAAGAATATTCACAGCAAAATAAAATGAACTAAAAGGATATTCATTCCGATTATCCAAAAGGCAGAATTAGAGATTAGAGGCTCAAGCTTTTGAGTGTTTCATATACAATGCATTGACCTGTGTGTTATTTGAAGTCTCGCTTGGTTGCCATAATCTAGAGCAGGGGTGGGGAACTGAACAGGAACCATGGTGGCTCAGGAATTCTGGGAGTTGAAGTCCACAAGTCATAAAGGGGCCATAGTTCCCCATTCCTGATCTAGAAGAATCCAAATGCTGAATCGATACCAGTGAAAAATGTTGACTTAAATCAGCGGGTTTGTTGCATGGTATCTTACTACAATGATCTAGGTTATGGCATTGATTGGTTTTTATCAGTCACAGAATCAAAGCAGAAATTATTGAGACTTTCAGATTTGAGTTGGAGAAATTGAGACATCTGCAGTAAAGGGTCATAGCAAAATAATGTTGGCAGTAAAGGGTTACAGTATCTAGAGATCATCCAGATTTTTGCAGCCCAAATCTGGTAACGCTATGTATGATATGTTTATGCAAATGTCCAGGCAAAGTACGCAGAAGGAAGAGCTGCTGCTACCATAATTTCTATTGGGGCTACCATCATCCTGTAGTAGCTATTTGAAGTAGCTCTTTGATACTAATAAGACTTTGCTCCTGAAGAAACTTGTACTTCTTATATGGGGAGTGGGGGAGGACCTCTCAGTCCTGCATTTTAAAGAAAACTTTTATAAAATTATCAATATTACATCATATGTAATATGGTGGTGCAGTGGTCTAAACTACTGTTAAAGTAGTATTTAGCTGCCAGCTGCCTGCAATTACTGCGAGTTCAATTCTCACCAGGCTCAAGGTTGACTCAGCCTTCCATCCTTCCGAGGTAGGTAAAATGAGGACCCGGTTTGTGGGGGCAATAAGCTGACTTTGTATAAAATAGAACACCACTTAGGGGGGGCCAAAAGCCCTACTAAGCAGGTATATACAAAAGTATGAAGGCTATTGCTTAAAAGCATTGTAAGCCGCCCTGAGTCTTCAGAGAAGGGCGGCATATAAATCAAACTAATAAATAAATAAATAAATAAATAAATAAATAAATAAATAAATATTGAAAATGACATAGAGTCAGGAATGAAGCTGTTCATGGTCATTAAATTAGCAACATATTTAATATAGCTTTTTCTCTAATAAATTTTTGGAAAAGTGATCCGTGCCACGGCCCAGGCCGCTTAGACCATGGGTGTCAAATCTGATTGCGTCACATGACATATTGTGTTATTTTTTTGCCTTTGTGGAGCCAGAGTGGGCGTGGCCTGAACGTGACACATCCGGCCCACAAGCTGCCAGTTTGACACCACTGCCTTAGACTTTGAATCTGATTCTTAAGAAGCTGTTCCAGCTGACCTAATGGAATATCAACCTCAGGAGAGATAAAGTCAAGAATCACATGATCAAAATAGACATTACCTGAGCAGCTGGATTGGTCAGGTGAGGATGATGTAAGACCACCCAACTCCCATACCCAGTTAATAGAATGGAGAACAGATGAGAGGTGTTTGTTGAGGCTTCTTGTAAAGTAAGGGAGTAAATCTCATGATTAATGACAAATGGCTGTACACTGATTCAGGAGGTAGTTCTGAACCCTGTTCCTTTGCTGGAAGCAATTTCTGATCTCTGGCTCTTGCATGATATTTGTGGGGTTTCTGCTTGTGAAATTCTGACTTCTGGACTGGCTAACAACCCTGACTCCGCTCTTCGAATCTTTGACTGACTTTGGGGCTATTCTTCTGTATGCTCCTGTTAAAACAAAACTTCAGACAAAGGTCTGATAGAGACTCTGTTTTGCTTTGCATGCTTTAACTGTCATCTTTTTGACATTGAGTAAACCATGAACTACCATAGTAATTATCTGTGAATCAGTAGTTGAAACCAGAAGCAGGACTCTACTAGGTTTCTAATTTGTTGCCTCCATTGACAAACATATCTCTCCCCTTATATTCTCTTTTTTTTTAATTTTTTTTATTTTTTATTATTTGATTTATATGCCACCCTTCTCCGGAGACTCAGGGCGGCTTACAATGTGCTAAGCAATAGCCTTCATCCTTTTGTATATTTTATACAAAGTCAGCTTATTGCCCCCACAGTCTGGGTCCTCAATTTACCTACCTTAGAAAGGATGGAAGGCTGAGTCAACCTTGAGCCTGGCGAGAACCTGCAGTAATTGCAGGCAGCTGGTCTTAATAACAGGGTGCTTTAGACCACTGTACTACAGTACAGGCTCTTCAACAATACAAATGACTTCTTAAATGAAAACCATCTTTTTCTTATGCTACCCCTGAGTTCAAGAGGGTATGTATGACTCTTCTTGCATCAACAAAATAGCTACCAAGTCATACCACTAACTTTCAGAGCAATCATCTGAGAACAGTAGTTGCACTCTAGTGTGTTGGACTTCAATTCCATCATCTCAGAGTCATTGGCTGTACAGGATAGAGATGATGAGAACTGAAGTCTGTAAATTGGGAGACAGCATGTCGTAGAGTCTAATTCAAAGCATATTTTTAATTTAATATGTTGGTTGTACTAGGAAAAAAAGAGTATGATGGGATATTAGGGATTTCATAACTTCAAATTAGTTTAACAGCTAATTATAAAAAGAAATAATATAGTTAGAAGACCGATGCTGAATTAGGTATTTGTGTGATTTATGGCCATCAAAATTAAAATCTGTAGCTCCCACCAACTAATTATTTTGGTGAGGGTTATCCTGTTTATTCTGGTTTCATCTTAATTACATTACAGGGATTAGTCAACCATTTTACAAAAAATAAACATAAGAATTTTAAACCTTAAGAGGGAGGCACATTAGTAATCAAATTATATATCTGCCTAAACTCAGGTTGGATTTGCATATGCTTCATGCTGATGTGTCATTCGCAAGGCCTCCAATCTGCCAGAATTATTTCCATTTGAAGCATGAAAATGGAAGCACGAAGCAGGATTCATATCTCAAATCCATTTTAAGTATATTAGAGAAGCCTTTCAAATAACATTAGCTGGCAAATATCAGGCTCAAATACCAACTTCTTCACTTGTTGTCATCCAAATGACAACTGAAATCCAGTCAAACAGGAGGACAATGGAGAAACAGGTTGAGAAGATTAAAGTGGCCTAATTTTTTTTATTATTATTTTTAATTTGATTTATATGCCGCCCTTCTCCGGAGACTCAGGGCGGCTTACAATGCGTTAAGCAATAGCCTTCATACTTTTGTATATTTTATACAAAGTCAGCTTATTGCCCTCACAAACTAGGTCCTCATTTCACCTACCTTGGAAAGGATGGAAGGCTGAGTCAACCTTGAGCCTTGGAGAGATTCGAACCAGCAGTAAATTGCAGGCAGCTGTGTTAATAACAGGGTGCATAGACCACTGCACTATCAAGGCCCCTAATAACTTTTTTCTTAATATATCACCTGATACTTCTACCTAAGGTGGTTGACTTAATTATATCTTTCCTAATAATCATCAGGCAGGATAGGTGACTTTCTTAGTTCTTTTCTATCATATAAGCACATCTGTACAAATGCACTCACATAAGCACATTTCTTGTGGGCTTCTCAAAGCCCAAAAAGCTGGCAACAGGGAATATATAGAAAAATCCAGTGATCAGAAGTGTGTGTGTGTGTGTGTGTGTGTGTACAGGCATAAAGAATGACTCAAGAAATATTTTATTTCAATTGAGACATATGGCATGCTCAAATATGGATCTCCCTGATTTAAAGGAAACAATAAGAACTATAGGAATCAAGACCATGATGTTGAAGAAGGATACACATTATGTGACCTTGTTTGCTCTATAAGGGAAGCCATGGAGATGTTGCATTTCATTTTTGAAGTATGTAGAAGTGAGCAAGTCTTTAATAAGGTAACTTCTTCAGTCCAAATGAAATTTGGGTAGGCAGAGAGTCAGAAAGTCATTAGGAAGAAGCAACATAATTGAATCTTCATTTACAGGTTGCTTTTCATTTTGGGGAGAAACCTCCTGTATGGCAAGAGTTGGTTCTTCCAATGGCTTTCTGACTCTAACAAAGGACTTTCTGTCTACCCAAATTTTCATTTTGACTGAAGAAGTTACTTGGATGAATAATGAAACGTCTCAGTTTTAATAAACTTTGGTCCAGTTGCCATGATTTAACCTTTTCAGATATTCTGTCTCACTTCTATATCCGTACTCCTGCCGCTAACATTTATGAAGCTGAGGAGCTAAAGAAGTATGTGAAGACTGAAGTGTGAAATCACCTTATGCCCAGCCTGGATTTCATAAATGCAGAAGGAAAACTAAGCGGTTTCATCATGTCAACTGAACCCTATCTCTAAGGGATGCTCTGTTGTCAAATTCATTCCTCGGCTCTGTTTAAGAAGAACAGAAGGAGCCACTGTGGGATTTTCCAGGCCACTGGCTGTGTTTTAGCAGATGCCTGGAACTCAGAGGCCACTTTTTCAATGTAACTATATCACTCACCCTACACTGAAGGGTCCCTGGGAAGACTCAATGTGTTGTTTCTGTGTTGCTGAGACATCTCTCCACAATGGAAACATCTCCTTGTCACCCACACCATTCTACTGCAGAACATGGCTCAAGGGAAGGTGGATCCCCATAAGGCCACCATCAAGCCCATCTTCACTATTTGTACACCACTGAGAACCATAAAGGCACCTTAAAGCCTGGGTTTGATTGCCCTGAAAAAATTTAGATGTGCCCTTGAGAAACCAAACATTCAAATGCTTCCCCACGTGCTCTATTTTAATTGTGCATTCCATGCTCTTCCTTTACAGATTATGTTTTCTTGCTGATTCATTGTATGTTTTAGAGTTTTAGTGCAAGAAAGGAGTAAGATTTCTCACAACCCAGAAATCAAATCTCACCTGTGTCTGGGAAGGCTTGAAAGCAGAGTCAAAGCTATGTTGCAGAGAGTCCAGAAAGGGCTGGATTTTATAGAGACCATGTGTAGTCTGACTCGAACGAAAGGCCACAATATGGAAGTATTTAAGAATCTTCTCAAATCTTGCCTGAGTCATGATTAATGCGATGCTCTTGTTGCTATAGAAACCACTACTCCAGATGCCGAGGACCGACTCACAGTGGTGAGTGCTTGTAGATATCATATATGCAAGGAAGGCCTTGATTTCTATCAGGGTGACATCCATCCAAGCCTCATCGCTGCCAAACCGTTCCTGGTATTTCTTGGCATACATGTTGGTTTGAATCACCATGTTCTTTAGCACATTATCAGGAACAAAGAGTTGGAAGAAGTCCATGGCACTGGAAGCGGGTGGCATTTTGCGAGTTGGACCTAAAGGGGGGAAAATGTAGAAATGAAGCTCATTTTTCCAAACATTTCAGAATATTCGCAATGAAGCAGTACCCTGAAACAGTATAATTAGGCTACTTAGTCCATCTCACTCAATGAAGCACTGTTTTCTATAGTTTGTTTCTTAATTGGTACTCAGAGTTATATTATACCCATTGTTAAGAGGATAAGGCAGTTCGTGTCTACTGTCAAGATTCGAAACATCTGCCTAATTATTACTGTCCTTCTATTGTAGGAAGGAAATGCTACTGATATCCAAAACTAATTTAATCAGAAGTGTACATGTAGTCATTTTTTGGGTCAAATTATTAACTCTTTTAAGAGAAAGTCTCCTTTCCCATTAGATTAACATTGAACCAATTTCATTAAAAATGCATTTAGCTGTGATCTAACAGGTATTTCTATGGAGTATAAATAAGAATGATTAAAAATATAAAATAACATCTTTATTAAATTGGAAATAGTTTATTGATAATATTTCACAAAATAATCTATCATTTCTATAAACTATTAATGTACTTAATGTATTTTTTTGAGTAAAAGTAACCAGAATCTCTTATCCAATGGTATATTTTTGAATTGATTCAAAGAAGGAAAGAAATCAAGGGGACAATATAGATATTTTTTTTAATTCAAGAATTTCTGGTGAAAGAACTTTTCCTGCTCTTTGACTTTTTTCTATATTTAGCTGAACTGCTGCTTGCCTGTTGAAGATCCCAAATGAGAAAAGTGCCCTTAAGTCTCATTTCCAAGCAATGAATTATTTAAATTTCAATTTATAACTTGCAAATTATTATCTAATGTTACATCTCTTAATTGTTTCCAACAAGGTTCACACTAAAATACAGTCTGAGTTTCATACTTTTATTACCGAATATTGTTGTTTTTAAAAAAGGTAGGTTTGCATTATTGGAAAGAAATACATAAGATGTTAATAAAGATATCTTACTGAACTCTTTTCATAGACTTCCTTTATACTTTGAGAGAAAGGATCATAAGAGATAAGTAGATAAGCATCTGTAATCAGTTTTGCACAGTAAATCTTGAAGTAAGAGAAGCCTGATGAAAAATGTGAAAAAAGCAGAGTCAAGAGATCAGCTCAGTGGAATCAAACTTAATATGAGAGTGAAAATGGTCACTCAGTTCTCTTAATAATTCTACATTTTTCTAGGCAACTATAATCTGGTCATAAGGCAGTTAAGTAAACTGGCTTATTTAGGCATCAGTGATTTTTACAGTGATTTCACTTTAAGCAAAGCAATACATTAAGCCTGAGTTCCAAAGACTTCTGGACTCATTATCTTTCTTCCTAATACCAGTGGCTTTGTATTTGGTCATTTCCACATTATTTTTCTGAGGTCCATAAGAAGCTTTGAAGAAACTTCAAATGAAGCAATTCATTAAGCTGTCTCATGAAGCGACACAGTCCTTTTTCTTTCAAGGGAGAAATAATCTCTTCTTAAAACTTTCTATCTATTGATTAGATTGGACACTATTTGTCTGAAATGGTATAAGGTTTCCTGCCTGAGTAGGGGGTTGGACTAGAAGACCTCCAAGGTCCCTTCCAACTCTGTTCTATTTTTTGTATGTACTTGAAAGATTTGTATCACTTACAATTTAGCTTACTTATTATGAAATAAATTCAGTTCCTTTACTTCAGAATGGGAGTATGTGGGTGGGAAAATTGGCCCTGCAGATTTTGCTGAACTACAGACTTTAACATTTGTTATCACTACCACTAATCAATGAATGATGTTACTGGGATCTGTAGCTCAACAACATCTGGAGAGCCACAAGTTATACAAGTTCTGTATATTGAAAAAGAGCTAATATTTATTAAAACATGAAAACACAATTTGGTAATGGGAAGCATAAAATCATTTCCCCCCATTTTTGTTTAAATGTATTTTTAATAGCTCAACGAAATGCCATTCTTTTCTGAGAAATGATTATGATGGTAGTTCTTATTTGCATCACAGATATGTTTTCTTCATACAAGCATTATCAATTTATTTGCAAAAGATGTTTCTCTTGTGCAATAAAATGTGAATATGAATGATCCATCCAGCCATGGATGCCACAAAATCCATGGGAGAAAACGCCCAAGGAAGACTTCCTCTTCCCTGTCCCAAAGCTCATGGAATGATAACCTGATACCGTGGAGCAAAAATATATCTCCAAAATGTTGCCTTTGATGTCCACCAGGCTCCTTGCCCCATCTGACTTTTTAAAAAAATACTTTAGTATCATCATCATCATCATCATCCATCGTTTGGTACAATGCAGTTAAATTGGTATTAATCTGCAAAGCAAATTCCCAGCTTCTCTGCTTATACTGTTCTCTTGCAATGCCTTTGAATCCCAGAAAGATCTCATATTTCTGCATTGGTGGCAGAGAGTAGGAAGCAAGTTAACTCTTAGCAAATGAATGTTTTATAACTAGCCAAGATCACTGTTATAACCACTTTATGAATAGGCAAGTGCAGTGAGGACCATTCCTCCTGGAAGTCTGACCAATACAGAATAGAGTGAAACTTTAACAAAGCTTTGACTGACAAATGATATTTGTCTTCTTAGCAGCACTGTCGAACTGCTGACTCATAGCCAGCCTGTGATCAACTCTAATTCTAAAATCCTTTTCACGTTTATTATCAAGCAAGGCATCAAGTCTGGATGAAGCTTTGAATTGGGGGATTTGGTTTGAAATTCCAATCCACGGTGTTGTAGCATCTTTCATTTTCTCTATTTTGCCACAGCACTGACAAACAGGCCAGTAATGATGGTGCCTTCTCATTTGTCTTCCCCAGTGGTTTGTCTCTGCCTATCTGAAAGGACAGGCACAGCTGATACTGGATCGTGATTATTTGTTGAAAAATAAGACGACAGCTATTGCAGATTTGCACATACATACAGCCTAAACCATAAATAATCATAAGCATATATCAACCTTTTTTCCAGGCCAATATCAAGATCAGAGTCCAACTCTGAGCGAACTCAAATGACTTTTTCTGCCTAATAGTGAGAATATTTATCACAGTGGTCCTGCAGTAATCCTTTGATCTGTCCTTCTCAGCAGAGACTGGGTCTCCTTGAGCAGAGTATACAGGGGGGTGACAGCAAATGCAATAAGGATGACAAATTTACATACCGTATTTTTTAGAGTATAAGACGCTCCAGACTATAAGATGCACCTACCTTTTTTGGTGAGGAAAACAAGAAAAAGAAATCTGCTCCTGCCTCCCAGCAATTTTGCCTCGTTGCAGCAAACAGCAAATAGCCTGCTTTACTTTCATTTTTGTTTTCAGCCTAGCTTGATTAGCACAAGAAAAAAAAATCTGCTTCCAGCAATTTACCTCCTTGCAGCAAGCAGCAGAGGCCCGAGCAAAACATCTGAGAGCAAAACAGCTGAGAGTCAGGAGGCCGATCCAATCAACTTGTGCTAATTAGACTGTGCTGAAGCTGAAACGAGTTGTTTCTTCTTGCTGTTTGCTGCAAGGAGGTAAACTGCTGGGAGGCAGAGGCCAAAGGGTGGGGGCCAGTGGGTGGGCAGGGCTACATTTGGTGTATAAGACGCATTTATATTTTCACCCTCTTTTAGGGGAGAAAAAGGTGCGTCTTATATGGTAGTTTTGTCATCCAAATCTTAATAGGGATTCTTAATATGGATTCTCACCAATGTTTTATGTTCATCTTCCTCCAATGCTCTAGCATTGGAGGGGTGTCAAATTCGCAGCCTGTGGGCTGGATGCATCATGCACTGGCTACCCCCGGTTTAGTGAAGGTAGGAAAAGTTGCGATATGTCATGTGACAATGTGTCACACGAGAGTTGGACACCCTTGTTCTAGCATCTCTTTATGTGTTTCATCTCCCAGAGCTGCTGCTACCAAGGAACATCCAAAGATTGGCAAGGGGAGAAGCCATAAAGGGGCAATACAATCTAAAGCAGGGGTGTCAAACTCACGACGACATGTTGTCATCACGTGACGTGTCGCAATTTTCCCTCCCTTTGCTAAAATGGGGATGGGGGTGGCCAGCGTGTGATGCATCTTGCCCGTGGTTTGCGAGTTTGACATCCCTGATCTAAAGCCTCATACTCCTCTGAAACCTACAGAGTCCATCAGGTGCTTGAGGCAAGCTGATCTAACAGGTGGAGTGACCCAGCCAGCCAAAAGGTAATTCGATAATGACCTGACCACAGCAATAGATTGGACAACGTCTTCTAAAATCAGATCATGTTTGCTCTGAAACAAAACAGACATAAAATGCAGCTCCTGGTATGTAAATGTTCACCAACGATGACCTGGGACAGTTCCATAGTTGCCATGGAAGCCACAAACTCTTGAGCCACCGTTCCTCACTAAATTGCAGTGCCCACTATCCATCTCTGAATTGGCAAAAGAAACTCTACCAGCGTGGGATTTGCTGTTTCCATTGTTGATCTCGGTTACTTGACATCCCTCCACAATGATTCAATAAAGTTCCAGATTAGTGGGACGCACAAGAGGAAAATGGGATGCTCAGATAAAGATACTGTATATTGCAGTCAGTGTGTGGCTCCTTTGATACCAAAAATTGTCCTCCAGTTAAAATACCAGCACCCACTGCAACACACCCAAGCATTTTGGAATTAAGTACTTTACTCCATAAAGAATACTTGAGATAGTATTGTCAGATCAAACACCGTGGTTCTATGAAATATCTCTAAAATTAGAGACCCACATATGCTCCTCCCGGATGCATTTTCAAGGGCCTCCAATTTTCAAATCTCTTTTGGCTGAACTTGGAAAAAAATCATGCAAGAAAAGCTATGTGTTGTTCTGCCCCAGCTTTGGATTCCCAGAGAATGTGACACACACCAAGCTTCGCAAACACTGTTTAATTCCAAACAAACCCCTTTCAAGGATGCAGGCTTCCCATGCAAAGGGTCCTTATCAAAGTTATTAAGAACAAAATCCGACAAAGTTTGGCAACAAGCCCAGAA